AAGAGGAAACACAAAAATCATCAAGCGTTAAGTTGAACAAGTGATCAAGGTGATAGGACCAACAGAAACTTGAAGAGGAAGAGATTTTGGAGGTCTTCGTATTTTTATCCAGTCACTTAGTGTTACTAGAAGCACCGTACAGAGAAGGAAATATGAATTCCTCTGTAAAGCACCTTGCCCTTAATTTACAGTTCAGATCAGGTAAAAGTTATCAATAAATATCCAAGCATTGCAATAGTTACAACACAATTAAGAAGTTTGGTTGTGTTGATTCATAAAAAACACAAGAGCATAGACCGATAAAACACAGACACAAGGCCAGAAAGTACATTTTATTAGACAAGAAGGGGTGCATTATCTTCATCAGGGATCATCAGATGCAGTACAGTTTATGGATCAGTACTGCAGTAAATGCTCCCCGTTAGAGCTTTAGGGCAGCAGGAAATCAACATTTTACATGCTGCATTACAGGACGTCCTCCACAGTACTTCCCATAGAGCACAAGGGATTTGAAACAGGCATGAACGATCAAAAAAACAAGCGAGTAGTCTCTTAAGCTTTCTAGGTGTTTACATTTAGGTCTAGAAAGTCAAAGAAAAGGAGAATATTAGTTACAGGCCAAGGAATCGGTTCCTAGCTGCCAACGCACGTGTTGAGAGGAAGAGGGCAGTAACACCTGCAGCTTAACGGCCTGAGCTGTGATCAAGGCCTTGCAGTGCTCCCCCTTTTCTCAAAGGCCAAATCTTTATTTCACAAATTATTCTGAGGATACTGCAGGCAGAAGCGATACTACTACCGTGTTCCAAGCAAAATAAAACTTTCTGGAAAGAGCAAAGCATTTAATTCTCTTTTCACACTGGGAGCTTTGGCACATCAAACAAGCACAGATTATACACATAAAATTACGCAGATGTTGGCCATGAAAGACTCACAGTCACCGTAGTAAGTACTCAAGACCACTGCCATACACAAGCAACAACAAAAAAGAAACATGGCAGCAGCAGGAAAAGCCGCAGCTGGCTAGGATACGGAGCGCACATAAACAAGTTGCTTTGAAGATCAAGGCCGTGGCTGCACCACATACGCTCTTTGCGAAGGACAGCATGCCATCTCCCCCAAGGAGATGCACCAGAGGGAAGCTAGAAGAGTCTTAATTAAGCATTTACCTTAGATGTAGGAACTAATCATCCAATAATCAACAAGACCAGCAAAAGCTGAGCCTGACACACTTAAACGGCTCAGTTTACCTTTAACTCAGCTTGAGTTCACAAGATTCCCCTTAAATTGCTTTTTTTTCCTATGTCATCACAGAACAAGAAAATTAATGTTTGACATAGAAGACTATAATCACATTTATTCTTACAGACAGAATTACAGTGAGAGAAGTCTAATATAACAAAAGGAAATTAAAGCTAATTAATGAAGCGTAAGCCCCTCTTTTGCTTCATAAATGTCTAAGAATGACCTAAAATTTAAGACTTCAGAACAGTTATCTCAGGCGTTAGAACTGCTACAGATGTTTTGGAAGCACCAAAGAATTGGACTGCTGACTTTCAGAGATGAGCCAAAAAGTTCAGGGGTTTTAGAGCTTTCCCCTCCCCATCTCCAGGCAACTTACCGAGCGTTCGAAGCAGCAGGACAAAAAGGGCTTTTACAAGATAGAAGAGTGCCGTACATGCTTGGGGCTTATTTCCACTGCACTCAGACTACAGTGTAACTCCCCCCGCCCCAAAAACTAATTCAAGAGATGGAAAATAAATTCAGATAAAAGAATTTCATTAGGGAATTCCAGGTCTTACAAGCCTTTTTTAAAAAGGAGGAGTGAAGAAATAAAATCAGTTTAATTGCATAAGCAGCCATCAACTCCTCTTTAGCTAGTACACACTGCTCTCGGACACTGCAGATGGCAAGCTGACTATCCTACAAAAAGAAAAGAAAGTACTGATATGGCTGACATACAAAAATGAAATATTTTAGCAGCTAAGAAGGTAGGATACAGCAGCCGCTAATATGAATAATAACTGAGCAAAACAAGGTCTTTAGACTTAAATGGGCTTATTGAACAAACCTCTGTCCAGAACTTTCATAACTAATTGGAGAGCTGACCTCCTGCAGCCCTATTTCCTCACTGCTGGGTGAGCGATAATGAAGGTTCCCCACTAATCTAAATTATTCAGAGCGTTTGAACCCAGCTTCCTTTCTCAGCAAGGGCTCATTTCTGCAATTCTCTCTCAGAGCAGCTATCAGTTACACAAGTAGTCGATACTACTACCATTGATACTAGCACAGACACTTGTCTAGAGCATCCCTTCTTTAACTCAGAAGGGCCAAAAAAGGAGCACAAAGTTGTCACTGCACTGGTATTTTCGTCAACTTTGTGTTGCTTTTGCACCTAACAAGCAAGACTCCCGCGTCAGTCTGTACAGGCCCTCACCACGTTGCAGGCTGGTAGAATTCATTAGGGAAACAGAAATAAAGTGGTGATTACTTTTAGAACATGTACGCTGACTTAAGCTTTCAAAACACAGTACAAGGCAGTCTAAAGCTTCCCTTATTTTCTTTTCACAGTTTCCCTATGCGTGACACAATAAAGCTACAAGTAACTTTAAGTTTGGTATCTTCGGTTTCATACTTTAGCTACTGGCAACAGTCTGGAATTGAACCTCTAACTCGGACGCGCTTGTCTCCAGAACGTGGTTAACCACGGAATAACAGAGTTCATGTTCTTTTTAGTTATCTCTGAACTCAGGAAATAATTGTGCAACCAAAACAAAAATGAAAGACCGCTAAAATCACATACGCTACTAATATAGACGCATTTTCAGTACCGTATTCTCCTACTATCTCACGCGATACCGCATGTCAAAAAGCGCTTCCTGGCTGCTTCATTGGAGTGAAAACCGATGACGCTCACAGCTTTGCTACCGACCCATTAAGTGACTGTGGGAAACAGTTATGCCCACCAGCACAAAGCAATACCGTCGCTGAAGGTAACAGCAGATTTAAGGGCATGCAATTCACTTCACCCTACAGCAACCTTTAAGAACAAGGGGAACTTCTGCCTGGCAAACAGCTTTAGAAAAACACATTTTGAAAGCATTTAAGGTCACCAGGTGACAAGGATTCACGATAAGCACAAAATTCAGAATCACGTTTAGCTACTTACTTCTTTAAGCTTGGTTTCTGGGCATTCAGACTGCAAAGTGAGCGTTGCTCCTTCAATATTTCTTGGCATAGGAGTTGAACCAGGATTTATCGTTAGATGAATCTGATCTGGAGAAATAATATGTTGCACGTAACCCTGGGACATTCCTTCATGATCTGCTATTAAATGAAATCCTTCTTCGTGACCCTCTGGTAAAAAAGGCAAGTGATCACCACACTGTCCTTCATCCTCATCATCTTCCAACACGCTGTGGTCCTGCTCTATCAGAACAGTTGTCCTGTCGTAGACCGTCCCAGATGATGAAGAAACCAGCCCGTTTTTATCAGCGAACCTCATCATATTGTCATCTTGGGTTAAATCGTCTTCCTCCACTTCGTAGTAGATAACGTTGCCTTCGGGACTGTTCTCCCCCATGGCTCACCGCCTCTCAGTGCGATATCGCGAGGTGAGACCGTAGCGACTCATCTGCAACAGAAGGACGGGCGGCGGCGGGGGGGTC